TGACTGTTTATGGTGTATACAATGATGCAGAAGTTACAATAAACATTACAAGTACTACAAGATCTCGTTATTCAAVGTTTGTTTATTATAATTATCGACATGTACGTTGTAGTCGTAGTCGTGAGCCAAGTAGGATACCAAAACGATTTCTAMGACGCTTACATAACAAAAGTAGAAAGCTAAGATGGGTTGTTTATCATCGAATCTGTCGCAATATTCCCAGATCTTCTAAGTTGCATAACTATATCAACTTCGGAAGGCTTAGAAGAAAGTACTTTGTCTCAAAATTAAAGAGGATTGATACACGAACATATAGACMTCGAGGACGGAAGTTGAAATATGAAGCTAGTCGCTATATTTCTTTTCTTTCTTGTAACAGACCAATGTCTCTTTATAAGACCCACTCACATGTAATGAACTACTGTAAGTGTAAACTACACAATGATATAGAAAAGAATCCTGGACCAAATAATACACAACTTGTTGATCCTAGTAAGACAATACGAGCACCATATAGCCAAGGTAATGCTGTCATRTTTGGACAAAATGCTGGACAACAATGTGTTGCTATGAGTTTATGTTCTTTGATTTATAATAATTATCAAGGAATTAATTCATCAAATGATCTTGTRAAGATAATGGACATAGGAAATCAGTTGTATACACGACTGTCACAATCAGCTRGACAATCATTTCTCATGCAATCAGAATTACCTACAGATTTAAATGTGTTTGATGCTGATTATAAACTTCAATATAGTGAGAGTTTTACAGGCAATATGCACCAAGAGACTATAATAGAAGGATATGACAACTGTACTTCATTAGAAATAGCATTTACATCTTTGATATCTAACAATTACACAARTTTCATATTAACAATCGGGTGTATTGCTGTTGCTATATACTGTCATGCTGATCATATGGGATTTAAAGTATTTGACTCTCATGCAAGAGATATATATGGTAGAAGCAATTCTTGTGGTACATGTGTCTTAATTGAATTGTCATCATTAGATAACTTGATTCAGTATTTTAAAAGTATACATAACAATGATATATTTGAACTTAAAGCTGTGCATATCAATAATGTTCAAGGTGGTACTGTGCCTGCCATTGAAATCAACTGCACAAATTTTAACTTGAGTTGTACYGTA